ATATTTACATGAATACAAACCTTTGTTATACCTCTATCCATAGCTTTGCTTCCTAGAGCTTTCCTCTGTTTCCTTTTACCTTCCTCCTATCCCACCATCAAGCTTGCCCTTCTGCCTCTTACTAATTCCTCTCAGTTTGATTGCTGTTGCTCCAGCACCCCCAGGATCTATATGTCCTCCTTGCTGTTGCTTATAATTCCCTAGTTTTTCCCCTGTCTATGACATTGTTTGCTTACCACCCCTTACCCCTGCCTCCTTCCCCCACTTTCTCCTTGGGTTTGTGTCCTATACCTATCTTATATAGGTAGCCAAAACAACAATAATGGAGACAAAACAAAAAGAAAACAGAAGATTGAATAAAAAGAGAAAAAAACTAGCAAAAAAAAAAAGCGTACATAATTCCAGGTCTGCCCGCTGACCTTTATGACTATCTCCTCACAGGTTCTGGGGGATCCAGGAACTGCCGCTCCTAGCCTGAAGTCAATTTTGGGGAGTCCTCAGGGGCTTGTGGCTTGGGTTTGCTCCCGTTGCTGATCTGTTATGTTCCCTTCTTGGTTCACCCCACTGTGGAGGAAGGTCAGACCAGACTCACTCCCCATTGTGTGTCCCCAGTATTGTCCTCTCTCATGGTATGCTCCAGTGAGGGTACATCACGTCTCAAGCTGGTGTCGGCCCTACAGCCCTCTCTGTGTCTTAGCAGCTCCGTACAGGGACGTTGTCCTTAGACTTGGTGTGCCAGTATGGGGTCTAGTGCCTTGCTCTCTCTTTTTCCTTCTTGGCTTTCCTCTGTGTGGGCATGGCTGGCAGGCCCCTCTCCCCAACCTGTAGGTTTAGTGTTGTCCTCTGTAACACGTACTTCTAGGGAGGGGGTCAATTGCTCATTGGGGCCTGCCCTGTAGACCTCTCTGTTCATGCGATGTTCCATGTTGTTATGTTATCCTCAAGGTTTGGTGCACTGTGGTGGGGTCAGCACTCACACTCCCATTTCTTTGGAGACCTAAACAATATCCTCCCCCTGAGTGGATTAGTGCCCTGCTCCACTGGTACCATCCCCCCCCCCCCCTTTTCTGCTCCTCAGCCCTCCTTTCCCCTTCTTTGTGTTGGAATGACATGTACATCCTTGGGTTTGGTCTGTCTCCCGACCGATTGCCTGGACCTCAACCCGTATAGTGTGAGATAAGTGGCTTTTCTTCCATACCTACTGTGCTCATTGTAATACCTACTGTGCTCATTGTACTTAGCTCAGTGGACTCATGTTGCACTTGAGCTTTTGTGATTGGCTAACTTTGCTTAGCATAATTTTCCCCAACTCTTCCCATGAGAAGGTGTGCTTCATGTGATCATCAGTGCTTTTTAGTGATGCGTGGTACTCCATTATGTGTGTGTGCCAGAGTTTTCTAATCCATTCGTCTATTGATGGAAATTTAGGTTGTTTCCAATTCTAAGCAAATAACATTTTTAAGAAGAATAAAGCAGGAAATCCCTCACTTTCTGATCTCAAAACCTATTACATAGCCACAGTAGTCAAAATAGCCTGCTACTGGTACAATAATAGATACATAAACCAGGACAGAATACAAAACTCAGAAATGAATCCATCCACTTACAAACAACTGATCATTGACCATGAGCCAAAATACATTAAATGGGACAGAGATATTCTCTTCAACAAATAGTGCTTGAAAAATGGAATCATCTCCATCTGTAGAAGAATGAAACAAGACTCACCCCACCCCACATACAGAAATGAATCCAAGAGGGATCAAAAACTTAAATGTAAACTTGAGAGCTCTAAAGACCATCAATGAGAAAACAGGTAATCTTAGCCTTATTGCAGGACACTGACAAACTTTCAAACACAATGAAGGAAACACACAGTAGATGACAACATAGATGATGAGCATTCACTAAAAATAAGACTTTATCTCAAATGCTAACCTCCACCTAATTTACAATTAAAAACTGTTTAAAAGGTAAAAATAAATAACAACCCAGTAATCCAAGGGCAGTGTAATATTTGACCCTTAGTGGCGTAATGGTTACTCACTGGGCTGTGGTCTACAAGGTGTCAGCAGTTTGAAATTACTGGATGATCCTGGAGAGAAAGACAGGGTTTTCCACTTCCATAAACAGCTACAGTTTCAAAGACTCACAGAGACAGTTCTACCCTGTCCTATAAGGTCACTAGGAGTCAGCATCGACTCTATGGCAGTGAGTTTGAGTTTTTTAAAATATTTAATACCCTCTTTTAAGTAATCCTAACAGCTTTGATCTCCACAAATAAAATTCCCTCTGTAATCTTTTTAACAACTTTGTATATCAATATACCTCCCCAATAGTACAATTTCTCAAAGTGGAAAAAATGAACACACTTATCAGCTATTGATCTCTGTATCATATAAAATACACAAAAATATGTAAGACTGAAATTTTACAGTGTTTCAGAATTCTCTTGTTTTAAAATGATCTCTCTAAAGAACATCCTTTAATTAGTTCAGTTTAGTATCAATCTAGGGTTTTCATCACCTAACGAGCTTGTAAATTGTCTCTTTAAAAAATCATTTTATTGGGGGCTCTTACAGCTCTTATAACATTTCATACATCAGTTTTATCAAGCATATTTGTACAAATGTTGCCATCATCATTTCCAAAACATTTTCTACTTGAACCCTTGGTATCACCTCCTCTTTTTCCCCCTCCCTCACCCACCTTCCCACCCTCATGAATCCTTGATCAATTATATATTATTATTGTTTCATATCTTACACTGTCTGTTGCCTCCCTTCATCCACGTTTCTGTTATTCATCCCCTTGGTGGGGGGGAGTGGTGGTTGCTATATATATTACCTTATGATGGGTGCCCCTTTCTCCCCCTTCCCCCTCCCTGACCAGCCCCCTACCCTCACGATATCGCCACTCCCACCATTGTTCCTGAGGGGTTTATCTGTCCTGAATTCCATGTGTTGAGACCTCTTATCTGTACCAATGTGTGTTCTCCAGTCTAGCCAGATTTGTAAGGTAGAACTGGGTCAAGGTAGTGGGGGAGGAGGAAGCATTCAGGAACTAGAGGAACGATGTGTGTTTTGTCGGTGCTATACTGCATCATGGTTGAATCATCCCTTCCTTATAACCCTTCTGTGGCAGAATATCCAATTATCTTCAGATGAGCTTTGGGTCTCCAAACCCCCTCATTCGCATCAATATAGTTGTGTGTTTTGGATCTTTTGCTTCCTGATATCTGATCCTGTCAAACCTCATGATCACACAGGCTGGTGTGCTTCTTCCATGTGGGCTTATTTGCTTCCCTGCTGGATAGCTTGTAAATTATCTTCATGCTGACATACCATAAAACATAATTACTGTTGAAATAAAGTTTTTCAATATAATGATGATGTAGTTAAATATACATTTTTTTCATAGTGTAATAATTTGGTAGAACTAATGTTAGTTTAATCAATCAGATTAGGAATATACATGAGTAGTATAAAAATCTACATGTACATTTTGCTTAACAGTGTTAAATCAGAAAAGGCATAGTTGTTTATATTAAACAAAAATTATTTAGAAGTTCTGTTTGCCAAAGATTTACCTAATGAACATTAGTTTCTGTGTATTCATGTCATTTCATAAAAATGAGAATATACAATATTTATGTGTGTGCCTATGGTTGACTTATTTTGTCTAATACAATGTCTTCTGGGCTCATCCACATTGTAAGATGTTTCAGCAACTCAATTTTCTTTATCTTTGAATAGTATTCCATTGTGTGTACATGCCACATTTTACTTTTCCATTCATCCAGTGATGAACAATACCCCGTGAGTCAGGGTATTGTTCAGAATATGTAAATGTTATTACAAATGTTATTATTACGAGATATCATAAAGCTTACTAATTATGTAGGAACTGGACAAAAATTTCCACCTACATGAAGCTTCTGCCAAGAATTCTTTTCAAGTGAAATATCAGGGAGAACTTAGAAAAATTATCTAGATATTTGAAGTCTATGGAAGCAGAAGAAACAAGTATTTAGAATGGGACCTTAAAAACAAATGATAATGCATGCCTGATGATAACAGATATCCTTTTACATCTACTCAGAAAGGCTTACGTAATATTACCAATAGCAAAAGAAGCTAAAGAATACCAATGAAGCCAGAACAACATTTGTGAAGGAAGGAAGCAACTTTAGGAAAGGTTGTTAAAGTCTCCCCTGTAATACTTATATTTACACAAAGGTACCCATATTATACTGCCTGGGAGGTTTTGCAGTGGTACATTCTATAGTCAGTTTTTTATAAGTGCTGAAACTTAGTTGGCATCTAGGTTATGTCATTGAATGAGTACAAAGATAATCTAATTTGTAATGTTTACATCTGGTTAATCAAGATTGTCTTTAAGGGCCCTTGTAGATTCTAGCTTTCATAAAGTCAAAAACTGATCATTAGTGTTCATCATGATGACCCAAAAAACCCCGAAACAAATCTACTGCCATTGAGTTTTTTCCTACTCATAGTGACCCTGAGGGACAGAGTAGAATTGCTTGATGTGTTTTTCAAGGCTATAATTCTTTATTGAAGAAAACCTCAACATCTTCCTCCTGTAGAGACTCTGGTAGGTTTGAATCCCCACCTTTTCAGTTAGCAGCCCAAAGCTTAACTCAGGGCTCCTATGATGACCCATGGCCACTATAAATTCTGAGATGATTCAGCAATCACCAGAGAAAAGTTTTATTTGGTTAATATGGTTAAACTATTCTAATTCTTTGAAAATGTAAGATCCTGACTGGAAAATTTTACCCATCAACTAGAATATTTAGTTTACCAAAGCACTCCATTCCCTGTTCATTCTGGGCCATTTACTCTTTAATTCTTGTAGATTGATTTTTGTTTTTCTTAAAAGAAGGGGAAATTGTAAGGGAATAGATCTTCAGGGTTAGATCCTTGGCTGTAAAGACTCCCTTGGATTGCTTTTGACTGTAGCAACTTGTTTTCTTGCAGAGATGAAGCATCTGGTTTTTGTTATCTCAATGATGCTGTCCTGGGAATATTACGACTGCGACGGAAATTTGACCGTATTCTCTATGTGGACTTGGATCTGCACCATGGCGATGGTAAGGCCTTTAGCTTCAAAGATGTTTCCATGCTGGGACTGCAGACTTTTTTCAGCAAAGCAGCTTCTGGGCAGTTGGTGAGAGAAGTGCCTGTGGCAATGAAATTTGCTCCTAATTGAGAAGCTTAAAGTAAGTAGCATGTATATTCTTATAACTGATGAAATCTCTGCCTTGCCAACCAAGCTGCTTTAAATACCAAAGTAATACCAACTGCCAAATAGTCAAATAGAGCATGTTAAAAAATAGAAATCTTCCCTAGTATTTATTTCAGTCCTCAGTAACCTCCCCAGTGCATTTCCATAGGTTCTTAGTGCACTCTGGGGCAAGACCTAACAGAGTTCTCTTCTCCTTGATGGTAGGTAAAAGAGATGATGTGTGGTGTGCAGATGACTTTTGCACCAATAAAGATAGCAGATTTTGTCGTGATAAGAACCTGTACCACTTTCATTCTTTTGCTAAAATATTTCATCCTGCGCAAACCCAGCACATCCTCCCAGGGAGAAGTTCTAAAAATCTGCATTAACTCCATTAATCCCTTCTCAGAAAATTCCACCAAAAAGGCTTAACAGACTCTCCTATATAGTTTGCATCTAGAATATAAAGATTCTATAATAGGTACTCACAATCTGTTTATTTCACGTTCTTCTGTTAGCTGTACTATTCCCATTGATCCAGGATCACTTGCTTAACTAGTAAATTTTTTGGCTTAGGATATTTCCCACTTATTTCCCGCATTAGTGTTCCTTCCATGTTTCCAGGGATTTGGGGAGATAAACTAATACAATTGAGGAATAAGAGAATAAAGCAATAATACATAACTGAGATTAGGGCCAATTCTGCTGCCAAAACAGACAAAGAAGAAAGCAGTTGTGGGGGAAACCTCTCATGGGAACATTGCCTAGATCAGCAGTTCACAACCTGTGGGTCGCGACCCCTTTGGAGGTTGAATGGCCCTTTCCCAGGGGTCGCCAGATTCATAACAGTAGTAACATTACAGTTATGAATTAGCAACAAAAATAATGTTATGGTTGGGGGGTCAGCACAACATGAGGGACTGTGTTTAAGGGTTGCAGCATTAGGAAAGCTGAGAACCACTGGCCTAGATGGATGCCACTATGGAACAGTGGCAGTAAAGTAAAGGTAGCAGAGAGAAGAGATTTAAAACAACCAATACAGTACTTTAAGAATCATATTTGTGAATATCTGGGTATTTCAGCCAGTACAAAACACAGTGTTGCTCAAAAACCTTTCCACAACTCCTTATTTCCTAAAGTGGGAGAGGCCATTTGGCTGATAGCTTGTTTTAGCATGGTCAGCAAGCTAGGAATTGTTTCTACATTTTTGAAGGGTTATAAAAGGAAAAAAATGTATATGCAAGAGAGGCTTAATTTGTAAAGTTTACGCTACTCATATTTACTATCTGGCCATTTAGTATTCTGACCCCTGGTCTATAATAATGGTTCTCACACATGAATGTGTGTCAGTTGAAGAACTTGGGGGTGTGGTTTAAAACAAAGATTCTTGGGCCACGCCCACTAGATATCCTGGCTTAGTAACTTTGGTATGGAACCGGGGAATCTACATTTTAACAGCATTCCAGTTAGTCCCGAGGCCACACCTTAAGCATAGTGCTATTCAAGGTAAGGTCCTCACTCTACCCTCCCTAATTTTTAAGGCCTACCTCACTTTCATCTCCTCATCTGTCCAGTCTTACCTTCTTCTACTTACTCGTCAGACTAGTCTTCTCAGTAAATCATAGAGATATTTCACTTATTCCTACCTACTAGCTTTCCTTTACCTTTTCCTAACTTACTTTTGCTTTCTCTTCCATTTTTATATCTCCAAATTCTACCCCTTAACGCAGGTTCTGACAGTAACAGATTTACCCTGACCACCCCAGCCCTAGAGTTCTTTTCCTTCTCTCAAGTCCTGTAGTATTTCTATTGCAGATTTGGTGTTTAGTGACACATGGTCTTCAATCGTGAGTTTATTTTTTAGTGATCCCCTGTCTTCTCGCCTTTAGAAACTAGTGAGTTTCTTAAGAGCAGGAATCAAATTGTTTATGTCTTTCTATCCTGTGCAGTGAATGCCTTGAACAGCCATGATGTATGTGAGACATTATGTACGTGGAAGTGATTCAGTAAAATATTTGTTGAGTACCTATGAAGTACTAACTTCATTCATATCATAGCCTGAGAAGAGAGCAACTCAACTAAACCATCTAAGGAGCCCTGGTGGTGCAATGGTTAAAGCGTGGCTGCTAACCAAACAGTTTATGGTTCAAATCCACCCAGCGGCCCTGCAGGAAAAAGATCTAGCAATCTGCTCCTGTAAAGATTATAGCCTACAAAACCCTATGCAGCAGTTCTACCCTGTGAGTGGAAAAATGAACTCGGCGGCACCTAACCACAATGTTGAAGCATATAAGAATGAAATAAGACTGTCACCTGACATCATGCTTTTCATTTGCAGTGCTATTGCTGCACCCGTTAGAGTTTCCTGTTTTCGCCAGCTTTTATGGCGTGTTTCATTTCAGTTTATTTCCCCTCTTCACCACCTCCTTTCCACTAACCCTCACCCCACCTGCAAACCCTTACACATTTGGGGCTTTTTTTAGTGTCTATTTTTTTATTGATCATTTTATTGGAGGCTCTTACAAATATTCTAACAATCCATAAATCAATTCTATCAAATGAACCTGTACAGATGCTGCCATCCTTTTCAAAACATTTTCTTTCTACTTGAGCCCTTTGGTATCAGCCCCTCTGCATTTGGTTTATTTCAAACCACCTCCCATGACTCCATAACCAGCATCATGTAGGGGCTTCCCTGACGGACGACTCTTATCCTGTCCTCAGCATCTTTCACTTTCTTAACGAATCTCTTTCCCACCAAACCCCCTGCCCTCAATCTATCTATGGCTTCTTTTCAGTATAATTTTATAAGAATGCCTCATGATATTTCCCATGAAAAGAAATACAAATACAACCACTGAACACATAAAAGTTATTCAACCCTTTAATACTCCGAGAAATCAATGCAAGTTAAAACATAACCATTATTTTTGCCGTTGGTGTATTGACAGATTAAAAGCAATAATGATATCCAAAGATAGTCACAGTGTGAAAAAATGGGAACTCTCTTACACAATTAGTCAAGATGTAAATTGGTACAACCTTTCTAGGCGGATAATCAGGATTTTCATGAATGTTCCTGGTTTATACATCAGTTTGTAAATTGAAATGCTCTTTCATAATTTGTTTTGTGTGCTTTTTTTCCCTTTAAGCTTTGTGTCTGAAATCTTGAACTGGTTTAACTACTTCCCTTGAGCAAAAGATACGACATGCGAAAATTTAAAATATGTACCTATGATATTCATAGAAATGTAATATATTTTAAAGTCTCTGTTGATCTCTAATAAAGACCAAAAATATAAAAAGACACATTCTTTGTTTGAACTTGCTCTTAGGGCTCCCATTTTACAGACTGATTATCTGAATGTAGTACAGTTATATGAGATTCTGAGAAGAAAGGCATGGAAGAGGGCAGTGTGTCTTTCGCTTGCTGCCATTGAGTTGATTTCAATGCCTAGTGACCCTATAGGACAGACTAGAACTGTTCCTGTGTGATACCAGGCTGTAAATCTTAGGGAGCAGAAATCCTCATCTTTCTCCTGGTGAATTTGACTGATGACCTTGAAGTTAGGAATCCACTGTGTATTCCACTACACCACCAGGACACCTTATATACTGGTATAAGTGCGTATATCAGTATAAGTGTTTTGTGAGGGTTATTTTAAATCCATGTTTTTATCTTCTAGGCCTCTATTCATTTTTTACTCTGTTTAAATAGATAAATATTTTTGCCTCTTGTCTTTCTCTAGGCTATATGACAGAGTTATAAAGCCGCTATTAAGGCACAAGGCAAGGAATATTTTCAGCCTTCTATGTTTTATCACTAGGAAAATGTATTATAAGTTGCCCAGGGGACTTTACATGACCTGCATTTATAACAAATCTGGTATTATAGGCAGGTACTTTATAATTAGGTTTCATTATATAACACTTAATGTTTGTATTGGTCATGTTTTTCAAAGGATTATCACATTGTACTTCCTTGGAGAATAAATTCCCAAGAATGTAATTATAGAAGCACTAAAATGAAACAAAGCATAAAACTTTTAAGATATACCAGTTTCCTTTGTGCAGTTCTGTGATATGCAGTTGTGTTTCTCTGTGCAATTATGTGATACCTGGGCTCAATTCTGAGCTCTAGCTTTCTCACTGTTGTCAAAGAGACCTCAGGTATAGCATTGCTTGTAGAAAAAAAGTCTTCTTATACTTTGCTATAATTTTCAAAAGTAGTCCCTAAACTTCACTTATCCTACAGAGGCTTTTGTTTTTTTTTATTCTTCAGCTGTTTGTGCTCTATTTTTCTCCAATTCCTTTTATTTCATTCATTCTGTATAAAGTATTTAAAAATCCTTATTCTTTTTTTTAAGCCAATAGTACTCAAACGTGTGTATTGGAATCACTGAAGAGTCTTGTTTATTTACTTTGCCTTCTTCATTCAAGTTAATATTATTTTACTGCCTTTTTATAACCCTTTGCTCCCACCTCTATTGCTTTTTATAATTTTATTTGTTGGCAAACAATTCCATATATGAAGTGATTCTTCTCATACTTCTTTCTCTGGTAGGTGTACAAGATGCCTTCAGTTTTACATCCAAAGTCATGACTGTATCATTACACAAATTCTCTCCAGGATTTTTCCCAGGTAAGTATTGCATCGGAGAAATAAATACAACAATTCTCTGTATATTTCTTATATTTTATGTTTGGGCAGATCCATACTGTTGATACCTTATTGGTACTTTCCTATGCAAAATTTTAACATGCGTTATTAGGGTGATTTTATAGACAGGCAACTCACCTATTCTGTACTATCTGATACCTCCTTTAATTCCTAACATCCTGATCATTAAAATGATATATTGATGCTCTGACAGCCAAAGTAGCAAAAAGGAGCCCTGGTGTGCTCATTAGTAGTTCAAGTCTATCAGTCCTCCATGGGAGAAACATGTGGGAGGCAGTGTGCGTTCCTAAAAAATCAAAGCCTTGGAAAAAACTATGGAGCAGTTCTCCTATGCCCTATAGGGTCACTATGAGTTGGAATCAACTCAATGGAAATGAGTTGCTTAAGTAGCATGAAAAAGTCATTTTGACCCAGCAAGATGGAAACTAAGCCTTTTCTGTTTCTGTCTGGTTTTCTTATTTCCCCAACATTGTTTATAAAACAGTTACCTCTCCATATTACTTCTCTTTATTTTAATTCCTTAGAAACCATCAGTTCAGGATTATTCTCTTAACTGGTCGTTGAGGTCTTCTGAATTGCTACCAGAGGATCCTCATTCAAGTACTTGTATTTTCACATTATTAATAAGTGATCCTCATTCCCCTCTTAACTCTCTTTTACAGGAACAGGTGATCTGTCTGATGTTGGCCTAGGGAAAGGACGATACTATAGTGTAAATGTTCCCATTCAAGATGGCATACAGGATGAGAAATATTACCACATCTGTGAAAGGTATGGAAGGCATGCGGAGCCAGGAACAAAGGAATATATATATATATAAAATTTTTAAATCAGTGTATACTTTATTAACAGATCTGGAAGAACAGTGGGATAACATCTCCAAGTCTCTTCTCATACAGTTGGAGTTTGTATACTTTTTGAGTGTCAGAACATTTAAATTGTTACACTTTTTTAAAGGGTACAGTAGCCTTCCCACCTGGTAGTACAATCTGTATTCCACTGAGCCACTGGATTTACATGCTGGAACATGGCTGCCCATTCTTCCTTGGACAATATTAATGTTCTTAAAGAAAACATCTATCTCCGGTTACCCTCTTTAACACATGAACTCATACCCTTCTGGTTTCTTTTATACCTAATTCTCTTTATGGTAGGGTGTAATGGCCCCCAATCTCATAGAATTTTTGTTTTTAAGAAATAATTTGAAAAAGACAACCACTGTATATCCATGTTGCTTTTTAATGCTTCTTATTGTGCTCACTTGATCAGGTAACTGTCAATTTGTCCAAGTGGTTGGACCAGAGCGCTGTCCCTGCTTTTACCCAGTATTATTAAGGCCTTATCAAGAAAGAATTTCTAGGCTGCCCGCCTTGCCTGCTATTTCTTTGCTAAAGAAATTTGTATATATGATTTTCGTAGGCTTGGGAGGGCTAGTCCTAGTTTTCTAATATTGAAATCTGTACTTCCCTCTACTGATATGAATATTGGAAAATTGACTATAACTGGTTACTACACATTCTTGAGTTCTATTTATTGTATTAAAAATAGCATCTGGAATCTCTTCCTTTTATACTGTGGTTAAGGATTGAGTTACAGCCACTTGTAGGTCAACATATTTGTGTCAATGTTTAGGTCACTGGGGCTGAAGTCCCTACCAAATAGTGGAGCTAAACTCATATTTATGAATAGTGAGAAGAATGGTCAGGCACAAATTCTTTTTTTGAAAATCGAAGCAGGGAAAGTGAACCTAGAAGTCAGCATGTATGTCAACATTATTTAAGTATATGGGGATTGAAGGAATCATGGTGACACAGTGATTTCAGCTTCTATAAAGATCACAACCATGGAAATCCTAAGGGGAAAGGGGGAAATTCTGCTGTCTTGCATAGGGCCAGTGTGATTCATAATCAAGTCAGAATCAATTCAATAGCAAATATTTTAGTTTTTTTAATGAAGATTGGCTCATAGCAACCCTATAGGACAAAGTAGAACTTCCCTATACAGTTGCTATTAATCGGAATTGACTATAACTACACATCACAAAACCACAATAACTGAAAGGAAACAGGCTCACACTCACTGCAATCCAGTCAATTCCGACTTACGATGATCCTATAAGGAAGGATAGAACTGCTCCCGTGGGTTTCTGAGACTAACTCTTCATGGGAGTAGAAAGCCTCATCTTTCTCTACAGAGTAACTAGTAGTTTTGAGCTGCTGACCTTGAGGTTAGCAGTCCAACATGTAACCACTATGCCATCAGGGCTCCAAAGAACAATAATGGGAAGTTGATAAAGGGAAATGCTTTTGATCTCTTCCCTACTCAGCTCAGATTTCTCCCAAACTTTGGTGGACACAAAGAATTTCCAAAGGAGCCTGCATTGACTGTCATCACTGGAAATTAGATAAACAAAATGGAATGATTAAAAAATAAAAGCTTTATGCTTCAGTGGGACCTCTTAACTGAAACAATTTAGTAAATTAAGTCATCGTTCAGCAACACTAGCCTCTTTATAATTTTACAAGTTTTCATCATATACCCTGGCTGTTGTTGTTATTAGGTACCATTGAGTTGGTGCTGACCCATAGTGACCCTATGCAGGACAGAAGAAAACACTACCCCATCCTGTGCCATCTTCACAACTGTTCCTATGCCTGAGCCCATGTTTCCAGCCACTGTGTCATTCCATCTTGTTGATGGCCTTCCTTTTCTTCACTCCATTCCACCTTACCAAGCATAATGTCCTTCCCAGGGACTGGTCTCTCTCAACAATATGAGTATGTACAAAGTATGTAAGACTTAAGTCTTGCCATCCTTGCCTCTAAGGAATACTCTGGCTGCTCTTCCAAGACAGATCATACTTAAGAGGTCTTTATGGAGCTTGCCATTGATGGTTTTAATCTTTGACCTTGTGGTACAGTGAATTACCCAATGTGGCCCCTTTCCCCATGCCTGGTCATGTCATTCCAACATAATGATCGGGTGGGAGTATGCAATTAAATTGATTGTGGCCCACGTAGGGACTCAAATAAATTGCTAACAATATGTAACCATCAATAATAAATAAATATGACAATATATAACCCTAACAAAGGGATTGGTTCATTTTTCCATTGTTCCATCCCAGAGGTATAAAAAGGGTACCTCCCTACCAGCAAGAGAGAAGAGCCAAGAATGGAGGGTATCCTTTGGACCTGGAAGCCAAGTGTTGACAACCTCCTATGCCCAGGAGGAAGAGAGAGAGAGAGAGCAAGAGAGAGTGCTATAACACCAGAGACAGCACGAGACAACAGGCAATGGTTGAAAAACAGCAGCAGGAAAACCAAGAGATAAGTACAAGATGGTATGGTAGGCGTCCGAATCCACAGAACAAGAAAGCTGAGAGTTTGGGGGTAGGAGACTTACAGCTGTGCTTGCCAATGCATGGAGCAGAGAGATAAGCTGAGACCTTATTGCAGAGTATGGTGCCTCTAAACACTTATTGGCAGAGTTAGAGAGTTGATGTGATCCAGCAGGTCAGGAGAGGCCCAGGGAGCAAGGGAGAGACCGAAAAGCTGCCCTGACTAGAGAACTATATCCAGAGTCATTCCTGATCCTGAATTATAATCTAACCCTTCCATAATCACAATCCTGGGATCACGATTATATGGACATTGAGTGAGTTATTGAATCTATCTCTCTTAGTTATCTAGTATTTCTATAACAGAAATAACACAAATGGGTAGCTTTAACAAAAAAAATTATTTTCTGACCGATTAGGAAATTAGAAGTCTGTATTTAGGAGAAAGCTTTCTACCCCTGTTGGCTCTTCTAATATGTCAGCCTGGTATCCCTTGGAAAACTCCATGTGTTTTGGCATCAATCTTCCCTTGGGTCTAGGAGGTTCTCAGTTGAGGGATTCTGGGTACAGAAGATGCAGTCAGCTCCCAGATTTTCTTTCTTGGAGATAAGTCCCTCTGATCTCTACTCATTTGTTTAATCTCTCATATCTCAAAATAATTTGACTCAAGATACAGTCTAATCTTTGATTATATCCTGCCTCATTAAGATAACTGCCTCTAATCCTCCCATATCAACATCATAGGTTAAGTTAGGCTTTACAACACACAGGATAATTAAATCAGATTGCAAAATGGAGGAGAATTACGTAATGCCTACACTCATGTCCTAACCCTGTTGGCAAATATTTTTTAGGGCTACAGTTGAATCAATAACATCAACCAAGAAGTAGAAAGTGCAGTGGGAGGGAAGGATGGTGTCAGAATTGATCAATAGGTTGGAGATATGTTTGACCTCCACTTCATAATAATCAGCCTTGGGCTATTGATACTGGTGATGATTCTGTCGCCCACTTGTGAAGTAAGGCAAGAAGGTTCAAAACCCTCAAAACACAAATTTTACAGCTCTTAGTTGCAGTTATGTGTTAAGGCATTCACATCAGAATTGCATGTGCCACTTAACTAGTAAAGATATCTGTGGTTCTGTGTGAAAGGAGGATAATTGTTTTGTTGTCCTTTCAATCCCTTTCTTGACTCAACCCCAAAACTCATAGATTCTGATGCATAGAGTGACCTTAGGACAGAACAGAAGTGCCCCTGTGGGTTTCTGAGACTGCAAATCTATACAGGAGTAGTAAATCTTATCTTTGTATCTCAGAGCCACTGGTGTTTTTAAACGGATGACGTTGCAGTTAGCCACGCCTGTAACACACTTTCCACCAGGATTCCTTCCCTTTCATTTGGTGCCCAACATTTTGTTGCCTTTATTTGTCTTAACAGGAAGCTAGATTGTTCTTTTTAGCATGCTGGCCCCAATATTTATTAGAGCTTTTTTCTGGGTCTTTAAATGAAGGGTCAGTACTCATTACCCTACAAAGTATAATTTGCAGTATCTGGCCTTTCCTAAATATTTGGTACATGTTCTTATTGAAGCTGTTCTGCCCATCAAACAACCTCTGGGATTTTCCCTTTCCCTATCAACTCCGCATTTCACTGCCTGGGAAAGGTTTTAGTATAAACTGCAGATTTGAGGTGTTCCGTTAACAGGCGCTGCCCCCCATCCCCTGCCAAGAGGCTACATGATATGTCCTTCATTCGGAAAAATATCTATTTCCCCCTTTATTTTCTGTTGTTGTTTTTTTTCTTTTCTGTAGACAAAATTAAAACCAAACTCACTGCCATGGAGTTGATTTAGAATTTTAGTGACCATACAGTCCAGGGCAGAACTGTCTCTGTGGGTTTCTGAGATCGTAATTCTTTACAAGAGTAGAAAGCTTTGTCTTGCTCCTGTGAGTAGATGGTGGTTTCGAATTGTTGACCCTGTGGTTAGCAGCCCAGTGCATAACCACTATGCTACCAGGGCTGCTCTATGTAAATCCTTTCCTACTGTATGAATAAAAACAAACCTAACCCGTTTTTTAATCTCATGGTACTTTTTTAGCTTTTTATTGTGAATCGGGTAGAGTTAGAGACAGATCATCAGTTTTACATTCAACAATTCATACACATTCTATTTTATGTAGTACATTGCATTTCCTTCGGAGGAACATCATCAATCTCACCTTTTCCTATGGTTCCTGTTTCAATTTCTCCTTCTTTCCTAATCCTTCTGAACTTAGTCCTTGTGTAAATGTTCCCCTTTAATATCATTTAGAGGACTATTCTAAGGTGTGTTACATATCTCAATAGGATTATTATTGTTTTGTAAATCTATCCATTTTTTGGCTGAAAATTGAGTTGCAACGGTTCTGTACCTAAATGGTGGCCAAGTAC